TGGTATGCTCCAAATGCCGGTATCTAGATATCAACACAAAAATGTTTCACCTAAAAAAAACTACATCCCTTTTTCTCTCATCCAAACAAAATATTCTAAAAGATTTTTCAAATTAGAACCAGAAAGTACATCTTTTGATGAAGCTGGGTTTAACGCACTAGGCTTTAGCTTTGTGTTATTTACTCAAGATTGTATCTCCCAACTCCTGAAGAAACCCAAAAAGAGGGACAGTCCATGATTTGGTTTCGTTAAACAAGCACTTGCAAGATTGGGGGGCGGTACTGGAGACATGAACCAATAAACCAATTTAATTTTCTTTTTTGATCAGTAAAACTACTTTCTACTAAATGTTTGAAGGTAACCTTGTTTATTTGTTCATCAAGGACTTGCAAGATTGGGGGGCGGTACTGGAGACATGAACCAATAAACCAATTTAATTTTCTTGTTTGATCAATAAAACTACTTTCTACTAAATGTTTGAAGGTAACCTTGTTTATTTGTTCACAATTCTACACCAAACAAAATCAAGGTCATGCATACATCATGTAAGTTGCTTGATTTACTGAATAAGTCCCAACTCTGAATCAGATTGTAATAAACCGACAATCTATTACAGGCATGTATGAGTTCATAACTACAAGGAAAATGGTGAAGAGATCTTACCACCAGATACGTATACCAAAATTTTCCAGAGATGATGGACGCTAATTGCACGAAGCTTGTGATGTAGATTACATCATGTAAATAACTGAAGAAAAAAAAACCGAAAGTTTTCATCAGAAATGTGTTCTGGGAAGAAACAGATGAGAATAGCTAGGAACAACTATAGCACCAGCAGGAGACTTCGAAACTAAGACACCAAACAAGGAATATCGTATGTCAATCTCTTATGCAAATAAAACAACATGACTCATTCTACAAAAAATTTCAATCGATTTTATAGAAAGGAAGTCAGAAAATGAACACTAATTTACATTTCAAACTGAAAATAAATGAGCTCCTTCAAATTGGGTGGGAAGTTTCCCTCTAAGCTCACGGCTATGCAGGCAAAATGTTGGGATTTTTAAGACATAGTCTAATGTAGATTTAACTATTAGTAAACGTTTTATATATTTTCATTGTCATTTGTTTTAGCTTGCTAATTTAGCTTTACTTTGTTACGAGTTTATCGTTTGTTTTAGTGGTGTTTTGTTATCATTTTTGTAAGTGAGCTATAAATAGTCACTTTAGTTATTGTAATAGTTAGATTGGAATATTTTTGAGAATTGAATACAAAGTTGTGGTTTCTCTCCAATTTGGGGAATTTTCCCTTTGTGGGGTTTCTTCAAGTAGATTTCGGATTTCATGTCCCGTCTTCTGTCCGGGTTAGACCGGTAAAACTCTATCTTATCCATCTTGTTGTGTCATAGTCGAGTAGCTCTAGTTTCACTTAAAAAGTTGACAAGTACAGTGGAGGAAACTTTGTTACATTGAATCAACACCAAGACAAATAAACATCTGACGTGCGAGTAAAATTTTATTTTGCATTCACATAATTTACGCGACTTATGTGCTGGTAATGACGGAATGCATTTGTGTTGGCAGTGAACAAACTTTAAATCTAGACATAAAACAACCATTATACAAGCATGACCAATAACAATTAGCCATAAATAAAATAAAGGCATCTCATCAATCTCATCAACTTCATAAGTAATTAAGACCAGGCAAGTAACCAAAATCTGTCTGCTCTCAAAGTTTCATGAAATTTGTTGTTTATTTCTTTACTTTCTCAAAACTTAGAAAAGAAAGAAAAGGAAAGGAAAGATAGAAACAATAGTGGGGTGCTATAGGTGTTGAAGAGTTACTGTTACTCTAACCATCTCTCAGTTTAGGGTTGCTAGAGTATAGTATTTGAGGTGTGCCTTTATATCGAATCAATGTTGTAAATAACATAGAGGTCAGATTGATTTAACAATACAATCATAAGAAGGTTTGGCGGAGCACTGCGGACTCACATAGTGGGTTTGGGGGATTTCTAGGTATCATTAAAAAAAAAAGGGAAAAAAAAAGAGAAGAAAACAACTTTGTGTTATTGTTTTTTCTTCGTCTCCTTCCCTACTTCTTTCTGGTAGAATGTTAATATTTCAAAGAAAATGGCAAAATCAAGAGCTGAATTTTGATTCATAACGTTAGATGCCCAGGGTAAAAATTTGCAAAACTCACGCCTAAAATCTAAATGTAGTTTTGACCACATATCAAACATTTTTGCTACAGTATTTTCTCTCATAATAATTTAAATTTATGTTCGAACTTTCTATATCAAACCTACGAACCCAACATTCGTTTTATCTCTATACCAATTTCAGTCAAGTTAGGCAAAGGAAAAAAGTAAAAAATAACAAAAAAGTAAAAGCAAATGAACATGAAAAGACTGAAGACATACCCACAAACTCCACCAGTAGACATATCAAACCCACCATCTATAAGTTCCCCATCACCAGCATAAGCTGGTTTTGCCATTTGGGCAAGTTGTTGATAAGGTATTAGATACGCCGCGGACGTCACCGCCAGTCCAATCCAATGCTTCCATGTGAAGCTTGAATAGAAAATCAGCATTCTCACCAAGACATAGACAACCTGAACAAAAACCAGATCATAATCAGGATTAAAAACAATGGCACAAATTAACAATATTGATGAAACACTGCAAATTAGCTAGTAAACTTTTTACTAACTCGAAGAAAAGCTCAAATAAAAATTTGGGTACTTATAATTCAAACAAAAGCTTAATGCAAACAAGATAATTTCATCAAGTTGAAGAAGCCCATATCCAACTTTAAATTTGAGACTTAAAACACTTAATCAATGAAACTAAAAAAACAAAATCATGAAGTGATTACACATTTCAGTGATCGGAAAAAAAAACACCATGAGAAGATCTAATTCCCAGAATAGTATCCATTTCAACTAAAAATTGACTTAATCCAATTAATTCGAAGAAAAAAGGCTTATCGGACCACACAAATAGAACCTACATCATTGAATAAGAAATTTCAGAATTATTAAATATATGCGGGGAAATTAAAGGAAGGATCGAAGGCAGAACAAAATTTACAATCTCTATAATGAATTGTGAAAATCAAAATTTCTCTCTTTTTACATGAAAATGAAATGGATAGGAAAAAGAGAGCAAAAAGAAAAGCGTACGTTGCAGGCGATGATGAGACGACGGAGATTGGCCATGTGGCGAGCGTTCTCTTCCTTGCGCTTCTTCGCACCTTGATTTGCCATCTGTCTCTCTCTGCGCGAAAATTAGCTTCGACAGAACGCCGAGCAAAGAGGAGGAGAAGAGAAAGAGAAGAGGACGACGTTCCTGATGTGAATGGTCGTATTTGCCCCTCCAATATTTCCAGTTGACGAGATTTTCCTAGCGCATTTATACGGTGGAGATGGTAATTTTACTCCACCAGTAATAACTGCGTCTTAATCATTGGATTAATATTTTTAATAGTTTGATTTATAGTAGAAACAATTCTGCTGTGTGGGAAAATATACATTAACACGTCAGACAGTGGTTATGCTCCACATGGTTTTATATTTGTCACGTCATGTAGCCCTCGATGCCTAAGCTTATATTCCCCTCATATTGTATAAGAGCCGAGTGCATAAGATGGGTTAGACCTTACATACAGTTGAGGCCTGCGTAACTTTGTCGAAGTACTGCGATAGGGTCGACAGAGAAACATGCCACACTTGGCAAAGTATAGTGCGGCGCAGAGGGCAGGACGCAAGCAACTGGGCCCGAATTCCAAGAAAGACCTCTGAGGTGGTAAGCTAGAGATCCCAAGGTTGCGTTTGTGTTTGAAAGAGGCCAGTTGCACAGGGAATGATTACAAACCCCTAAACTGCTGGAACAGACCAATGTGAGTTACAAAGGGTCTGCAGAGCCATAATAAGAGGACAAATTGGATGAGTGAACAATCCAAAAAGAATGTCAGGCTACAGTCTAGGTAATTAGGATGGCAGGCCACTTGAGTAAATAGGCCACTTAAAAGGATGGGTCACTGGAGAGGAACCGCCAAAAGGCCCCAAAGACAGCTCGTCCAAGGGG